CGAAAAGAAACCCTCGAAGGAGCTTATAATTCGCTCACCTAGAAAAATCTATTACATTAATGAAATAAAAAGAATAATAAAATATTAAACGTAATCTTCGAAACGGCGAGGGCGCCCAACATTCCGTCGTGGTCGTCTAACCCTAGGATCCCCTTCATGGTCTACGTCCGCATGGCCCGTACCATTTGCATGGCCCGTATCATAAAGCCAATCTGCCTTTTCCTTTAGATCCACTAGCTACTAGGTGATGAGTGTGCTAAGGAGTCACAGCCGGTATCGCTGCATGCAAACCACCCAAAGTAAGTTAGAATTAGAATAACTAACAAAGAACCCCCCCTGTTTGAGTGCTCCGCCACCCGCCCATGCATGCATCCTCTCCATCTCACCTAATTCGCCGCAACACCACGCACTATCGTCCATGTTGCTAGCTAGCCATAATAATGCTTTAATTTTAATTCTCTCAAAACAGGTAATTTAATAAAAAAATATCAATTTTCAAATATTACATTATTTGAAAACTGACTTTAGGAAAGAAATTTACTACTCGCCAAATAACGATAAAAAATAATTTTTCTAGGAAAATGGTTTTCTTGGAAAATATTATTTCTCCCAACCAAAACCAAATGGACCCTAACCTAAAAGCAATTAAGTGACAGTAAATTATGACAATTAAAAATGAAACTAAATAATGTATAGTCCGTATAAATTAACAAAAATGTAACAAATACAATACCTCAAAATAACACGAACAAAATAATTAGTACTCAATGTCTCCATTTCTTCATCACCACGAGGATTTTTCTTGAATGCTCTATGAATGAGACCTCCCAATCGAGACCATGCATTTTGGTGCTCCCAAATAATACGATGGGTATTGGGACTGGATGAGTCCTCGTCTAATCCCAATAGCGTCTCTAGCACCGTTTGAAATCGTATCGCTTCCGATAACATTTGAAACAAAATGACACAACCTTTGGCTTGACAGGAATTAATAATAGCAATCATGTGGTCATTGACTGTTGAAACACGGGTTTATCACGTTTTCGTACTAAAGCCGTGTTCGTTGTTATGACAGGTTTTGATAATGCCAAACTGCCGTGAACGAGACAAGTCATTGAATATACAAGGCAAGAACCAAAGATGAGAAGAAAGAGAACAAGGGCCAAAAGAAGACCAAGAACAAGACCGTAGTCTCAGTGTCATTGAGTTGTTCACAATTGTGATCAAGACCGACCCAATCTTTACACCTTGGCTCTTTAGGCTAAAATTCTTTTCATTGCATTTCACATCATAAAAATGTTTTTCAAAACCAAGTGGTTTTCAAGTTTTTATGATTGGTTTTCACTCTTTGGCATGTTTAAACGGTTTTCCAACAAAAACACTTTGAAAACCACCCTTCGCTTTTGGTCGTTTGACAAAAACCACGCAAAACGGCATAAACTTGGCTAGCCGTGGTTTTTTACTCAAATGACATGGTTTTTAAAGTGTCTCACTTGATTTCTTAGCCAAATACATCAAATAAGTGTTTTAAACACTTGGTTTTTATTTTGGAGAACTTTGGATTTTTCGGTCGATTTTTGCATCAGTTGGCTAGGCCGTGGTTAAGGCAAAAAACCATGGGTTTTTGACTAACCACCAACCCAGCAATGGGAAGATCTTCCCATCGATGGGTAAGCAGTCCCTCAGCCAAACCAACTTCCAGAACCATGCCAAACAGTGATGGGAAGTTCTACCCATCGCTGTTAAAGCCTTGGTGCAAAATTAACACAAGGCAGAACCACCTTGCCCGGCGATGATAAGGCTAAACCATCGATGGGAAGGGATGACCGTTGTAGGTCATTTAAGCTTGATTCTTTCCTTGTTTGGAAGTCAACCTCCCACCCAGCGATGGGAAGCTTGTACCCATCGATGGGTAGGTAAACGTTGGCTTCAAAACTGAAGGAAAATTGGCTTACCAGCGATGGGTAAGTCTCAAACATCGATGGGAAGCCAATATCCTGCAGATCCCAAATTTATTCAATCCCTTAAATCAAGCCAATCACCCCTTTAATGCATTGGTCCGTTGGAGCCTATTTTGGCACTATAAAAAGGGATGTTTGGGTCTGCTTTTCTTATCAATTCACTTCACAATATTCATATTATTATTGCATCCAAACCACATTATTTTCCATAGCTTTCTAGAGCCAATTTGTGTGAAGTTTGAGTTGTTCTTGAGCGTATATATTTTACTCAACATCTACTCTTAAAGAGAGTCTTGTTCTTGAGTGGTTAGTGTTGTATACACGTTAAGGGAAGCTTGTTTCCCTTGGTTGTACAAAGGAAAGGTATTCTCCTTCGGGTTGAAGTCTTGGAGTGCGGTATCTCCGAGTAAGCGTTGTTGAGGCTCGTGGGACTCGAGTTCTCAGGTTGTAACGGTTTGTTAAGCACCCGTAAGCTTAACGGAAGTAGTGTAGCTCGAGAGAGTCTCTCGGGAGACTGGATTAGCCACACGTTGTGGTGAACCAGTATAAATCTTGGTGTGCTCCCTTCACACTTTCTACGCTCTTTACGTTTCACGTTCTTAATTTTTTATTCCTGCGATTTCTACGATCAAACACTATTCACCCCCCCTCTAGCGTTGGTCACTTATTCTAACATTGACAAACCATGGACTTGCTATATCATTCACTGCGCTAATAATAGCAACTCTACCTAACGAGATATGCTCTCTGGTTCAATCTGGTGAGGTTGGTAATCTACGGGCTTTTGGGACCACCTCTGTATAACTCTCATCAACATTCATATAGGTACAAGGCACACATACATGAGTATCTCTAAAAGCATACCAAGTACCCCTCACTTGAAATGCAGAGATATACAAATTAGTATTATTTATCCTAACAGTAATTTCATTACCGATAGTCCTTAGCCTCACATTTCGGAAAGTACAAATTCTATTAACTGGAACAAGAGGTAATACATAAAACCATCTAGGACTACCATCTTCTTGGTAAGTCAATTGGTGGGGAGGTGAGTTAAATATAACGCGGGCATTCTCAATCCAACTCCCATAAACTTCCCGCCACTGACTATGATCGTTTTCTATGATGGTCAAGTCCAACACAGGAAGATCTACCATACCCTAAACATATATAGAATGTTGAATATTACAACGGGAATAAAATAAAATATAATAATCTGAACTTATAAAACGTTCGGATTTTACAACAAAAATAAAGAAAAGAAAAGTGGAGTCTTCGGAAGCTTGAACGGACGCACGAACAAAGGGGTAGGATGTCGCTGGAGCAGTGTCTCGAACTCAGAAAAATTAGGAAAGCGGAGGTGCTGGAGCTTTCCTTAAGGTAGTATTGTCCGCCTCCCGCACTGGCAAACGTGTGCAATCTCCTCCCAGGATAAAACCGAAGCATGCTAAGTCTAGATCGGTTGAACAGAGCACCGGCGAACAAAAACGACGGGAAGTTATCGCCGGAGAAGATGATTGGAAATGGGAGATAGTCGGAAAGCTTATGTAACGCAGAGAGAGATTTTTCGAGTGTGTCTTTGTTCTCTCAACCAACCTCTTCTTAAATAGGAGGAGGTTGGCTATTTGGACAGCCCGGACGGATATACCGAGGAGTCTCAAGTGACTCTTCGGTCGGCATGCATGCATTTCCCTTGGATGACACTTCGTTAATCACGAAGTGTCCATGCCTCGCATTTCCCATGGACTCTTGGCGCCGCGCCTCGCCTCGCCTCGCCCTGCCCCGCTGCTACGCTCGCGCGTGACGTGCCGAGCTGGACGAATGGCGGCGACGGCGGCGCGCGAGGAGTCTTCTTCTTGTTCCTTTCATAAGCTCAATTAAAGGCCTAAGCTTAAATATGAGAATATGAAAGGTTCAAAAACTCGTGTAGGACAAGGGTTTTTACTCTACCCTCTTATTCATCTTTGAGAATTAATTTCTCATTCACCCGAGCAACGTTTATGGCGTGTAATATGTCAAAACGTTTGTCTTACTTACGAGATTAAACGTCCATAATTATTTCGAAAAATAATTTTGTGGACCCTACCGAATTTATGTCTAAAAATGTCCAATTTATTAATAATTTTCAACATAGAATAACCATGCAAAAAAAATTATTAACATGCCAATGGAATATAATAATATTATACGCATGCATGCCAATAACATCAAAGAATCAAAAGCACCGACCTAAAATAATATATAATTGATCTGCAAAAATAAAAAACTTTTGCAATGCTTGGGATAAAAAAACTGAATGATACCTTAAAATTCGAAGAAATTAATGAGAAGTGAATTAGAAACGATTGGAGATGCGTGTACCCTTCGAAATTCAGCTCACCATGATTACACCATAGCAATTTGCAAGCACTGTATTTAAAAGAATCTAGAAGTTGGGTGTGAGCTAGGCAAAGTACCCAGAGTATCCAAGCTAGCCAAGTACCCGGAGTGTATCTCACAGCCTCGCCATATTTCAGAAACAACATCTTTTTTTCCTTTATCTGTTGGATACAATCATGCAAACTAAAACCCATTTGTATAATAAACAAGCTAAGAGCATGTTTGGATAGCATTTTCAAACTTAATCTACACCGTTAAGGTTTTATCCAAA